CACTCTCAAATGGACTTTTCTCTCTCTCCCCTTCCTCCCTTTCTTCCACTTTCTCTAGAAATCATTAGAAAAAAATATCCTCTGGTAAAGATTTTTTTTTAAAAAAAAATCAAAACCCACTGGAACACTACATTTATAAGATGATTATAAAGATTTTAAATTTATAAGTTATGGAAGTGTGTAGATATGAAAATTCTTATAAAATTGTGTGCATATCAATTTTGGCAAAACAATTTCATAATGATTGGAATATATAATTCCAAACATTTAGTTTTAAATGTTCTTTAGTTAGCACAAGTTTTGATATAAAGTAATGACTTGCTCGCTCATCATAAATGAACCGAGATCTAAATTCTCATACACTGCTGATGGAAATAACAGTTGATACAAGTTCTTGGGAAAATTGTTTGAAAAGTACTAAAGCTAAACATATGTGTAAATGAAAGTATATACTAAGCTAATTATATGACCTAGTATTTTTGCTTTGGTATTAATGCCCAACATAAATGAGCCCTTACTAGTAACATATTAATAAAATCTTCATAACAGCCTTGTTCACAATGGAACCAACCCAAAGGACACCAGGAGAATGTTCATTCTCATTATAGTGTAGTGTTACACTTTTGTAAAAATAAAATACTGCAATTTTTTCCCTGGGACAATGTAGCTTAGTTGGTTAAGCCTCATCCCATGCACTGAGAGGTTGCTGTTTCAATTCCAAGTCAGGGCACATGCCTGGGTTGTGGGCTCAAACCTGGTAGGGGGCATGCAGAAGGCAGCCAATTGATGTTTCTCACTCTCCCTATTCCATCTCTCCCTCTCTCTCTCTCTCTCTCTCTCTCTCTCTCTCTCTCTCTCTCTCTCTCTCTCAAATCCACAACCTAGGTATGTGCCTGATCAGGAATTGAACTCACAAGCAACCTTTTGGTTTAAAAGGTTGCTTGTGAGTTCAATTCCTGGTCAGGCACATACCTAGGTTGTGGGTTTGATCCCTTGTCAGGATATATACAAGAAGCAGTCAATCAGTATTTCTGTCTTTCCCCCTCCATCCTTTCTACTGTCTCTAAAATCAATAAACATCCTTGAGTAAGAATTAAAAAAATTCACCATACCACCTTTTTTTTATTATTATTACAGTTTATGCTCATTGTTATTCTGTATTAGTGGCCTGGTGCACAAATTCATGCACATTGAAAGGAAATTAACTAGAAGAAACAATTTAATATCGCTATTCGCCCTTTCTCTATACTAGAAGTGTCAACCAAATTCATGATTGATAATGACAGATTGAAACGTGTGCAATTGACGCCAGTGAGAGCTTTATATGTATCATGCATGCACAAGTCAACTTAGCCGTTTATAGATATAGAATAAGCTTGCTTAATTATACCTGTTTCTGATTTAGCTAAACTTTTACTAGCCCAGTAAAGCACCCCAACTTCTCTTTCAGGTAATTGTTAGCAACATAGCAGTAAATATCAACATGAAGCAGATTATTATTATAGATCATGCAGGGAGAACAAAGGGCAAAATATTTAACTGCAGCAGTGTTTGACTATATTCTGCGCAGTGAAAAAAACTGAAGTAATTTTCAAGGTCCACCATTTCTTCTTTTCATTTGGGTCAAGTTTCTAAGCTTTCTAAATCTTCATTTTCTGGCTAATGAAAATAAAATAGGATTCTATCAAGTCTCCCATCTACCTGCTCTAGGACTTCTGTGATGATCAAATGAGATGAGGCATGGGAGAACACTTCACAGACATTTGGCTATAGTGAAAAATGTTTCCACCTGGCTATAAAGCAAGTTCTGTTCCTGAGCTGAAGAAACTTCAAGGACGCTAGTCTCTAGGGAAAGGAAGCTGGGCATTGCTACATGACGTCATTACCTGGCGCCCACAGCCACCATTGCTGGACTGGACTGTGGGCCACATTTTGCACCACAGGATCTTGGCAGCACAGCAGCGATTTGGTGTGGTGTCCCTCCTGGGTGGTGGTGGGGCTTGTGTCCCACTTGGGGGAAGATGGTGTTGCTTTGTGAGCTCCTGGTCCATGGTGCCATTTCTCTGTAAATGGCAGTGCACATCACAGCAGATCCTGCATTGAGAGTCTGTCTCTTAGTCTTCATTGTGCATCATAGCAACCAGTTGGACACTTAGCATATAGCCTTTTATATATATATAGAAGATTAATATAGCCATACCATCTTCTAGTTCCTAGGACAGTTAAATAATGAGAATTTTCTCAAGGCAGGCTATAGAGCACTCAGTCTTCCTTCAGAATAAACATGTGTTATACCAAAAGTGATACATGGCTGCCTGTTACAGAGTACAAAACCAATAGAAATGTTACTTATTAATAAGCTTAAATTATTTCTCAGTGTTGGATTAAATAAATGTGGTTAAAATGGTTTCTTTCCCCACTTGTGTATTTAATATGACAGTTTCCTACCAAGATAGTTAGTCTAATATTTGTGTAATATTTGCTCAATAAATCTCCAAAAGAATGAGATAGACAGTGGTTATTTAGAGCAGAAGTTGACAACCTTTTTCCATAAAGATCCAGATAATAACATTTTAGGCTTCGAGAACCATATGATCTGTATCACAAGTACTCAACAGGAGGCATGTTGACGATGTATGTTGTGGCTATATTTCATTAAAACATTTTTATGGACTCTCAATTTCAACTTTATGCACTTTTCACGTGACAAATATTATTCTGCTTTTGATTTTTTTCAACCTTTTAAAATGTAAAAATCATGCTTAGCTCATGGATCATAAGAGTAGGAGCAAAAGATAAATGGTTCTCAGGACTTTGTTTGTGAAGCCTTGGTTTAGAGTCATGTGATTCTTAGGGGTAATGAACTTGTAGAGAATCTCAGCCTGAAGTTCCACAGGAGTGAGTACACAACATCATTTTTAGTCGGCTGTCAGATATGTTGTTAAAGATATGTTCGTTTGTTTTGTTCCTTCAGAAAGCATTAAGTTTCATATTTAAAGTCAAAGGCTTGCCGGGACCGGTTTGGCTCAATGGATAGAGCGTCGGCTTGGGGACTGAAGGGTCCCGGGTTCGATTCCGGTCAAGGGCATGTACCTTGGTTGCGGGCATATCCCCAGTAGGGGGTGTGCAAGAGGCAGCTGATCGATGACTCTCTCATCGATGTTTCTAACTCTCTATCTCTCTCCCTTCCTCTCTGTACAAAATCAATAAAATATATTAAAAAAATAATAATAAAAAAATAAAGTCAAAGGCTTTGTTCCTTCTCTGACATGATTTAAATTGATGGAAGTTTAAATAAAAGAAGTTGGGTTTGCAAAAGATTCTACTAAGATATTTGAGGTCTGGTTATTTTAGCTAAGTGTCAGTAAGAATCATAGTGCTTTCTTGGTGGTCTTCTGATTTGATATACAATTTTTAACAAGTTTTTGTTTTGTTTTGAGAAAGAGAGAGAGAGAGAGAGAGAGAGAGAGAGAGAGAGAGAGAGAGAGGGGAAGGGAGAGAAACCAATGTGAGAGATTAACATTGATAGGTTGCCTCCCAGGGATCAAGCCCACAATTGAGGTATCTGCCCTAACCAGGAACTGAACCCACCACCTCTTATTGTATGAGACGATGCTCCAACCAACTGAGCCACACTAGTTAATGCTGATAAACAATTTTTTAAAATAACCTTTATTTTGGAAATTTGAAAGTATTGAAATACCTAAGACACGGTAAAATACATTTGTTTGAGGCCCATTGGCTAAATTCTGTGACTATTTCCTGGGTTTCTGTGTGTACTAATACTTGAGAAAGCATGTATTCTCTGACATTCTAGAAGGTCAGAGGAATAAATAACTGCATTAGCACTTAAAGGGCACGCTTCCAAGTTGGTTCACCTCAATTATTTGCAGTATTTACCAAGAAATGTAAATGGTGAATATCTAACCTAATTATTGAGCTATCTTTCATTCCTCTATCCAAAATTAATTTTCTGTGATCAGCTATATTTACAATTTCAAAATCGTTATTTACATGCAGACTGAACAGTGCAATAAAGGGTGAGAAAAGATAAATTTTGGAATGACCTTATACTGATTTGTACCTACATCCATCCAGCCCTAAATGAGGGAATCTCACAACCTTGGCAACACCAAACAGGATATAGGGGCAAGGATTTCCTAGTAAGGTGAATGAAACCTGTGCTGTACATAATTTACCTGGGGTCCATTCCCAAGAATATCTCATGGATATTTGTATTTCATCCCAGAATCAGTACTTTGCTACTAGCCTTGCTCTCTTCCCTAATTTAGGGAGGGTATGGGGTAGAGTTAGGAGACCTGAAACAAGGTAAGTATACAGTAAACAGGAGAAGAAAACTAAGAGGAAAACCAAACTGAAGCATCACTCTCATTATAATGGAAATGGATACTTAGTGGGCACCATCTCTGTGTTGGAAACTTTCCATAAACTCAGTTGTTAAAATAAACAAGAAGAGAAAAAGGGACAAAAAACATGTCCCTTAATTAGCTAATGCACAGCAGGAAAGAAAGCCTGGGAAGCATCTACTTCAAAACAATTAAGTAGACCAAGCGGTATTTTGTTTTAAATTGATTTTTGTTTTATGTATTATGTAAGAGATAAGGTTGACTTTGTTGAACTTTTAATTCCATGACAACAGCAAACTCTACCTGTGTGCTCAGCATTTGGTGTGTATTCTTCAAGCAGCATGGTTCTCTGCTCTCGACCCAGAATAACATGCAGCATGTTGGTTGTGACTCTGGAAACTAGGGTATCACTTCTGTTTTCCAGAAGGTGAAAATGTCACAGTTGCTTCTGAGCAATGCATTGCACCACCAACTGATGGAAGAGAGAAAACAACCCTTTTACAGTAGTTCTACTTCTTGACCTTCTGAACATTTATTGGAGTATGGTCTATTATTAGACAACCTATATGATGATCAGAAAATGCATGTTTCTGACTCAGCCTCCTGATCTTTTTCTCTTTCCATGTGATTCAGGAGGAAGGACGCTGGTTTCTTATCCTACAAAGACCACCTGCCGGTGAACCAAGTGGTGGTTGGAGACACCAACCGGCAAGGCTCAGAAGCGAAACTGAGTGTTGGCCCCCTGCGCTGCCAAGGAGATAGTAAGTTTGCCCAGCAGCTGGGGCTTTCACTTTCTTGGCAATTTTATATAGTGTTTCCCAGAACATCAGAGCGTGGAAGAGGACAGACTGCTCTTCTCTAACTCCTACAGAAACACCCGACAGTGCAAACAGCCCAGTGGAGAGCTAGATAGAATCTAACACATAGAGGAGAATAAGCCATAAAGTCTTCAGTCCAACGAACCTAGATAGGAACATAAAATGTGGATATCCATCTTCCTTGTACATTCATATCTAACAACTTTGACTACCTAAGTTTATGGTGATATGTAAATAGCGATGATGCTAATAACATAAAAGTGGCACTCAACAGCTGTGATTCCACTGAGTGCTGCTGTTAATGCCATTAGCAGGACTATTGATAGCACCATAAACTGGGTTGATGCTGATATAAATAGTAGCATTATGGTTTCATGTATCACTGTAAACTTGGATTATGATCATGTAAAGCTTGACATTATTGCTATCAAATTTCATCATCATCAGAGCTTGATAGTCCCTTGTAAGCCAAAGATGTTTTCTGTTGCTATGTCTAGTGTTCCGGATTCAGCATGACAGAGAGGAATTGGGGGCTGCTGGCTTCGACTGTGGGAGGCTTGGAGTTAGAATGATGACCCCACCTAATTAGGGCATCATTAGGATTTTGTTGTCTTATACCCTTCGGTGTGCTTCACATGCCATCAGAGGAAAATGGTGACATTTGCTATGAGGATTCTGCAAAGAGCATCCTGCTTGTCATTTCCCCTCTTCCTGCATGTCCTCTGGGAGTTCTATGTGTTTGTGATTGTGTGTGAGGTATCGGGAGACCTAGATCTGTTCCCTGAATAACTGACTTGCCAGGACACCTCAGGCAAACTCCCCATTTGCTTGGCTGTGTCAATGTGAATACCACCTGCGTCCCAACTCCTTCTGGGGAGACAATAAAGATTTCAGTGTTCAGTGCCTGCATCTGGATCCCTCCTAGCAAATCATTCTGTGAGGTGGAATATTATCACCATGTCCTTAAAGCAAGGGAGAATCAGACCTACTCGATGTAATAAACTATTGCGGCCACTCATAGAGGTGTCTTAAGGAGTGTAATGATTCATGTTAACGGTTTACTACTGAGTAAATTGAGGCTGTCAGCAATTAAGCAAGGCAGTATTCCTGATTCAGAAGAGAGATGGAGTCGGTACTGATTTTTCTCTTCTTACATGGAGACAGAAAGAACTACATATAAAATGGGGACTGGTCAAAAGAGGTTTATCATGCATTTATTAAGCAACAATATTTCATTTGTCTAGTCTGGCTTAGTAGAACTGTACAATAAGGAATTCAGTTTCAACTGTTTAAGAAAAAGTATTGACATAAAATAATAATACATCTGCATTTTTAAGCAGAAATTTTGAGAGATGGAGTATAGTTTCACTCTCAGCCCTGGCCCATCTGGCTCAGTTGGTTGGAGCATCATTCCATGCACTGAAAGGTCAAGGTTCAATTCTCTCTCTCTCTCTCTCTCTCTCTCTCTCTCTCTCTCTCTCTCTCTCTCTGTCTCTCTTTGCCCCCATGTCTCCCTCCCTCCCTGTTTCCCTTCCTCTTTCCATGTCTCCCTCCCTCCCTCTTTCCCTTCCTCTCTCTCTGAAGTCAATAAAAAATATTAATAAAAAAACAGGCATGTTATTCTTACATGTTATCGAATGGAAATAATTTTCTTTATGTCACAGTTACTCATTAATATATATATAGGTATATATAGGTAAAATATAGGTAAAATATTTCACACTTATCAGTATTAATTCTGAAGTTAGCTTTGAATGAAGAAAGGGTTTCCATTAAGTAATTGATTAACACAGTATAGTTATAAAAACCCCACTTCTGCAAACTTTTGTTACCATTCTTAAAGTAAAGGTGTTAGCTATGTTAAATAGTATATGTGGGAGTATATTACCAGCTGAGTAGCTTGTTTTCTCTTAATCAATTAAATCAGTCCTCAGGAATAATTTATTATGTGTCTGCTATTTTTCTAGCATTTTACTAGGTACTCTGGGGGATTAGAAGAAGTTCATTATATCTGTGAGTTCATTTCTGTTTTGTTTGTTCATTTATTAATATATTGTTCCTTAGATTCCACATTTAAGTGATAACCATGCAGTGTTTGTCTTTCTCTGACTAATTTATTTCACTTAGCATCATACCCTCTAGGTCCATCCATGCTTTCAGGGTAGGGAGGTTGGAGGACTGGGTGAACAAGGTGAAGGGACTGAGAAGTACAGATTGGTAGTTACAAAATAGTCATGAGGATGTAAAGTATAGTATGGTACTTTACATGTATGGTACCAGGTGGGTACTGGAAATTTCAGGGGGAACATTTTGTAAAGTATATAATTGTCTAACCACTATGCCATATACGTGAAACTAGTACAAAATAATACTGAGTGTTAAAAAAAATAATAAAAATTAAACTTAAAAAATGTTTCTGCTAAAAAGAATAGAGAAAGAAGATTACACCACATTTTAAGAAATGCACATGAAAAAATATTGAAAAACAAAATGTTTTCTGATTTAATATTAGATTTTGCAATGTAAAATTATTGCAAATGATACTCAAGAAAGAAGTGATAACCAGTATATTTCAGGTAGATTTTATTAAGAAAAAGAGGACAGGTAAAGTATGATGGGCAGCACATTTGCATTTCTTTCCCAAGGCTTTTGTTCTTATAGGCATTTTGAGGACAGTTGATAAGACAAAGAGCTATCTGATTCATAGACACTACACCGTTTCAGTATTCTTGTAGTGCTTGGCTTCAGAGATTTGATCTGTGTTTTACCTGATACTCCATGAAAATAAAAGCACAACCAATATTTAATTATAATTAGTAGAATACTTTTGTGTCTGAAAGAGAGAGAGACAGACAGAAAAAGAGACTTCCTTTTCTGCAGACAGCTGAGAATGTTATACCTCATATCTGAATTGCCAGGTAGCAGTCAGCAGTTTCAATGCCCACCTTCACTTTAAGGATGCTCTAACATGGATACACTAATGATATATTTATAGCATTTTCCAGTATTTACAAATGTATGATTTCCTTAAATAGAGAGCACCTTACCCCTGAGGTGCGTAAGGTAAATATTAGCCTTTGTTTACAAATGAACAAAGTATTTCTTTTAAAATGTCATTTATTATACACAACAATTTTCTACACACCCTTGCAGCCTCCAGGAGGAATGACTGCAAAGAGCATAGCGGTTCTCTTCTCACAGGGCAGGGTTGTTTCCCTGATTCCTCTGTCTTCCCTGAGTCAATTGCTGATCAGATTGGTTTAAAAAAATGCCACTTGGGTTTTATGCCAGCATCCCTCACACCAACTCACATCCATTTATCTATACAACATGAATGATGTGGGGAATAAAGTCTAGTTTTTATCATTTAAAAAGTGGTATAGCGCATTTATCTGTTGTTTGTGAAAATTAACTTACTGTCATTTACTGAAGTCTGTGCAAAGCTACAGTTTAAAAACCTAAATCCATTATTGAAAAATGTTTCTCTGTTTGAGCTGTTGAGTGATGACAATCCCAGAAGCTGTCTCTTGAATTGGGTCCCCCAGTCTCAGAGAAAGAAACAATTTTTGTGGGCTCTGACCAAGCGTTGCGGTGGTTTCAGTTGATTTCATCATGCCTGCTGACTTTCATTTTTACTTTGATTCATCTGAACTCATAGACCTATATAATCAAAATGCTAAAGAAAATCATTGAGTTCCACTCTAGTCTGCTGCATTTCCTACATAATGCTGCGAAATACTTTTTTTTTTTTTTCCAAACCACTTTTAAATGGAAACCTCCATTTTAAATGAAGCTGAAAGTGTGACTGGTGATGGATGGTTAACTATGATTAAAAAAAAAAATGCAGTAAAATTACAAATCCCCTGTTAAATCACGTGTCCACCAGAAAGAAGCAAAATAACTAGAGATTCAAAAATCACTGATAGAATAGAAACTATTTTCAAATTTAAATATATAATCATTCTTGGATGGGGTGGCTCAACTTTTATGGAATTAGTTCACAAAAGACATTTTGGGCTTGGGAGGTAGAAGTCTTCTTATTCAGACTACATATGGTGTGTATAATTAATGATAGAAGTAAAGTATTTACTAGTTAGATTCTCTATTCTTAGCCATATGAGGTAAAGATTTCCCATATTTCCTGTAGGGAGACAGGGACTTGAAACAATTAGTTAGGAGCAAGTTTGCTATGAAAGCACACATTTGCCATACACCTGAGTAGAAGTCATTCAGGAAAAATGTGTTACTCAAGGACTTCTGAGTCCCTGCCAGCAATCTGCCCTGGCTGTCCAGGCAGAGGCGCAGAGCACGTGAGCCATGCTGGAGGTTTCAGTCTTTTAGAACTGCAGGCCTGACTCTGAGAGGCCCAGAGAGAAAGTGAGGCAGATAACACATCCAGTTCAGGAACCTTCAGCAGACACAAAGCCAGGCATAAAAGAAGTAGAGATGGAATGGCGTTTTACGCAAATGATAGTGGACACTGGTTCTCTGGGAATATAATCTTAGGGGCTGGGGCAATATAAAGGCTATGCTGTCTTTACTATAAGACTTTACAACCCAGGACCATAACAAACAGTTCCCTTACCAAGAAAGACAAGCCACGACTCTATCTACATGGCATTTCTTCACAGAAAGGACATTCCCAGAGGTGTGCAAATGATTATCCTCCTCCAGAGGATGTACCCAGGGACACACAGAGGCCACACCATCTTCCCAAGACCATCTGTGTGAAGCACACTCAGTGCAACCAGCAAGGACGGGACAAGGACAGCGGGGCAGCCACCCACCTGGGCTGAGGGATGATTTTGATTGTGAAGAGGCCATTCCCTGGGCTCCAGAGAAGGGCAGATAGTTGGCTTATCAAAAGGGGAACAGCCCAGTGCTTTACGTACAGCTTCATTCGGTGACCTCAATGACTTGAGTGTACCAATGCAAAAGTGGAA